TTGGAACACTACAACCATCAGACAGAATCCCAGGTTATTGGTGAAAAGCTGAAGGCACCTGTGGGAAGGATTTATTGAATACAGAACTCTCGATTGTTGTCTCAGATGGCAGTGGACACCGGCGAAGCCAGGGCTAATGATTGACTGCGTCCAGTCATGCTTGAGAGAGAAAGAGACTGTGGTGGCAGCTGCTTAAGTAAGATTGGGGAGCAGGTTCAAGTCTTCTGCAATTGGTGCGTGGGAGATTACCGGAGGGGTGTCCTGTCTGGTGGCGTAGGTTGTATCGGCCGAGGGTGGAGAAAGAGACATGTTCCAATGGTGTTTCGGCGGCCGCGACTACCTGGGCGCAAGTATTTGTGTGTCCGAGTAGAAGTCGGTCAAGTGTCTGCAGGTGAGCGCGTCTGGAAGCGCTGTCGGAGATAGCTGGTGACCTTGAGACGGCTGGTCTCGAACAGGGACGCCGAACAGAGAAATGTTGGGCATCGCTTACACGTGTTTGATAAGTGCCCCTCTAGTTCGTTTCAGTGTTTCGTCGTTCGACCCAGAGTAGCTGCTATCTTTCTCTCCCTCACTCTCCACTGAAATTTTTGAGCTAAAGAAGAATTCCCTTTACCAGGAGATGAGACGTAGCGTTCATAGTGATGCTTTACTCAAGTTAATATTAACACAGGGACACCTCTCTGTCTGCCTTGTTAGCCTGGAACGTGACACCTACTTCTAGGTCAGCAGGTGTTTGCGTACAAAATCCACTGACAAATGTTGCCCGTGAATGGTCTTGACACCTTTTTTAGTTTTTCGAAAAAATAGCATTACCGTACTGCTTACCTGTTTACCGTTTTGGTCCACCCGGCTTATTTTTAGGCACCGTTCAGTCACTAGTAATCCATCGCTAAGCGACCATACTAGTCTTGGTAATAGAGGCTGACTGCTAATGCAGCAGCCTCTTCTTCTTGGATGGTCCTTGTGATGCTGTCGCAGCGAGCGCGGACTGACTCGTTTGAAAGAAAGTGGGTGTAGTTTACTCGAAGGATGGTCCTCAAGCCTTGGTGGTCAGATACCCCCAGTTTTCGCTCATCTTCCACGCACACAATCAAGCATTCAAGAAAAGTAGAAGAGGACGGATACAGAGTACATGCGAATCTTTGTGGTGATGGAAATGTCGCGTCGCATCCGTAGGCATATTCGAAGGCTTAAGAAAACCCGATGATGAGCATTCATTCGGGAGGTAATGCTGTCCTTACTCTGTCCATTCGGCAGCAGTCTCGGCCTGAGGTACTCATTCAGGTGGACTGCTATCAATTTCGAGAGGTATTTTTCCCTTCTCGGGGATGCAGCTTGAGAGCACTTTCCTCTTCCCGGCGTCGATGGATAAACTGACTGCTTTAGTGATTTCACTTTACATTCATATTATAGACTGCAGATTATCAAATCCTGTAGCTAGTAAGACGATACAGTAGTCGCCGGTTATTAAGCCCACAGTTAATAGGCCCAGCCGCGTATTAAGCCCAAATCAGCTTGGGACGGAATTTCACATAGCAAAATCCGCCGACCAACAAGCCCAGTCGCCGGCTACAAAGCCCAGCTTCCCAACTGGATAGAGTGCACAACTGGTTACATAATTTTGAATTTCACAAAATTCGACGATTTCTGGTGCCTGGAGAAGGACATCAAAGAGC